TTTTTTCGTGAGGATTCGGCTTTGGAAATTGCCTCGGTGGTTCGTCAACCACTGTCCGGAACGTCTCCTGTTATCATACATGATCCACTTTTCATCACAGGTGACAATTCGGTCCAAAAACGGGTCGTTTCTGTTGCGCAAAAGCAGTGAAGAAGAAACCTCGAGACGTGCCAATTTCTGCCGGTCACTCAAATTGTGGGGCACCCACTTGTCGAGTTTTTTCACCTTCCCAATGCGTTTCAGACCATCCGCAACAGTGGATTTGCCAACGCCTAGCTTTTCTGCAATCTCTCGAACTGTTTGGGATGGGTCAGCCTCCACAAACGCCTTCAAATCCTCGTCAGGTATTGCTTTAGGTCGACCGCTACGAGGTTCATCTTCAAGGCTGAAATCTCCAGAACGAAATTTGTCGAACCATTGCCGCACGGTGCTTTCTCTAGCACTATTGGGCCCCCACACCTGGTTAATTTGTTGAGCTGTCTCGATTGCGGATTGACCCAATTTTAGTCGAAAATATCGTCCGAAGTTGCTCTTTTGACATGCTTCAAAAAGTCTTGGGAAAAGGGGGTTTATCAAGCAATGGTGAAACGGCAATTATACCATCAGATAGCGCAAAGAATTCTCTTCAGGATGTACTACTGAGACGCAAGGGAGAATGAGTTTTTAATCAGCAATGAATGTACAAAATGGTAACACAAAACGCTGAGAACTTTCCGGACAACCTAATAGCAAGTTGATTTGTACGTATTGGTTTTAATCAAGGAACACAGTAGGTCCAAATCCAAGGCAGGTGGCCTCCTTGGACGAAGTTTTTCACCCGGATAGAAGTCACTAAAGCGGAAGCAATTGAGCCATTCCAAAGCCGTACTGTGGAAGCTAACATCAAGATCTAAATAACGCTTATGGCTCCAACCACGTTGTGGCTTGGTAGAGATTCATATAGCGAAGTGTGTCGAAAATGATGAATTTCAATTACCGTTTTTCATATGAGAACAGCGACTGCGAGGGACGGTGAAGAAGCTGTGGGATGCTTACCTAACACACTTCCCATAGACCACATAACTGGATCTCGAAATGGCTGCGGAAAGATCTGATACTTCAAAAAAAATCCACGAACTTTTGGGACAACCTAATATGTAGCACACAATAGAGCCCCATTACATGCGTACTAGGGTGAAGAATACGTCGCCGAATGCGCGACGAGGATGTGGTGCTTGGCTCCCTTCAGAAGTGGTGGGGTCGTATTGCAGAGATCAGTACTGAAAACAGCATAGACGTAGGTTGCAGGATGGGTGAATGCGGTCGGAAAGGAAGTCGAGTAGATGGCGTGGAAAAGTTGACCATCGTCCCTACGTATCGGTTCCGTTTTGAAATATGGAGCGGTGCTGTACGGAAAGCCTATCGATCTTTCTACATAGAAATGTGGGCTTTGCAGGAGGGGGGCACACTTCCTGCAACAGCTGACAATGACTTCGAAATGGAAACTCGCGACGGGCGAATTTTACCTAGAGTAGTAGAAAATTTTCTTTCTCTTTTCGAGCTAAAGCGAAGTCGGTTCGCGTTTCAGAAAGAAAATCTTCTAGTGCCCAAAGCTATATAGTACTCCATTCCAGATCATGCACTATCGAAAGTATGGCCTTTGAAGTGTCAAAGACATGCGTTCGCGAAAAATTCTGAGCCTCATTTTCCGCCACTCTTTTCTTCTATCACACATGGGCTCTTGCGTACATCTTTATTACTCTGCAATAACTCTTGATAAATTTGGCAGTAATAGCTGAATCAACCACCTTTAACGAGACAGAAAAACATAAAACAAAGCATCAACCCGATCAAAAACCGACCCAGCAAAACCTAAACATAATCTCTGACCTAAAATTGAAAATTTCAACAACACCTATTATACCTTTAACGTCAAAGATGACGCATGAAAGAAACGACTGTTTTCAATGCATGTGTTCCACGAATTTTACGTTATCACACAAACACAATCCAAAAAAGAGCACCGATGATAAGCTTTTGGGAGTTCCTCATGGTATAACAGCAGAGACAAATCAACAAGAAAATTGCATAGTAAGGGCATAGAATATCTCGCGATACTCGACCAATCGTCATAATTCAAAAAAAGTATGCACCGATCACAAGCTCTCGTTATGCTTTTGCGTTGGTGCTTTTCCATGCGGCTTGTACTTCTCCCACTGCAGTAGTTGACCACACCACTAACCCGTCTTCACAGATAACGGCCCATAGAAGAGGACCGCAACTTACAAGTTAGCTTGTGGCCTTCATCGCGAAGGGTCTTCAACATTGTTCCCCATGCAGCCAACTTTCTATCCAACAGATGATACTCGTCACAATTGACATCACATATACTGGCTCGAATTCGATGAGCTCCCAGTCGCACGCGGGGTGCCTCGCGCGACGTTTCATTGAACGATGAGGATAAATGACGATGAACTGCCTTGAACTGAAGCATATTTTCTCACGCGCATTCATTGCACAGTAGCGATGTCAGCGACATTTCACAATTACAATGGGATTCCCAGCGGGCGGTGGGGCCATATGCTGGGGAGCACCCCGATGATTGCCTGTTGGTGGAAAGGGGCAAAATTATTGCCACTGCGTCTTGGATACTAACTCTGCGCTCAAACACGCGCCGCCTCAAACTACTTACTTTACCTTGTGGATGCTCGCCGATCGATAACTGCTCTCAACCAGCTGATTTCTGCGGCACGAAAAAGCAGCTGCACAACTGCGACATCAGTCACTAAAACATTACCAAAGAAAGCCGTTCACAATTATAAGACGTGCAGAAAACGCAGATTTGAGAATAGAGTCCAAAACGAAAAGAAACAAAATAGTGAGCACGGACACAATTTCAAAAAAATCGTGGGGAAAGCGAACCATCGAGGTTACTTCAAGCTGCAAAACAGAACCAGAGATGGTTTTCGATGATAACAAGATCACAACCAAGACCCTGCTCCGGGAACTCGGTCAATAACATCAACGTTATTTGAGGACATTCATGAAAAGTCAGAGAAATTGCAAAACCGAGAAAAAGAAACACGTTTTCTGAGGAATTTCATGCTAATTCCATACAACATTTAATCTCATTTTTGGGAAACATAAGAACCTTCGAAAACTGAAGTCGAAACTAAAATAATTCCAACTTTGGCAAGCTGAATATAGCAGGAATACAGCGAAAACGCCGCAGAAATCAGCTTATCGAGAGCGTCCAGCAATTATCGATCGGTGAGAGTCCAGAACGGAAGAGTGAGTAGATGGTGCCGTGGCGTGTGTTAGACCGCAGAGTCAGTAACAGAGACGCAGAGGCAATGATGATAATATCCAGCTTCTCTCTTCATGAAATCTCGGCATCATTGTGAACTTTCAAGTTGTAATGTGTTCTGCCAAACGGGTGGGTAGGTGGAAGGCTTGATGGCTGCTATCCTAGGGTTCCGCCAAAAACGCTAGGATGTCGAGGCGTTTGGCGGTGTAGAGGGTGCAACATCTAAACCTTGAGCTATGTTTAGGCCTCTGAGGACGACGATCCCGTCGAAACGTCAGGCCATTTAATAAAGTCTTCCACCTACCAATCTCTTTGGCAGAACACATTACAACATAAATGATATTGATCACCCAAAAGCTTGCGCCTTTCCACCGACACGCAATCATCGTACCGCCTCACCGTCCGTTGAGAGCTCCACTGTGCGCAGCTGAATGTACCCTTCCGAAGGAAACACAAGCCTGTGACCTTAGCCCTTTGCTTTCCTTGCGTTCCTCTGTATTCCTGCATACTTATATATTTGAATGTCGTAACCTTGACCTTATGATCGAGTGAAGTGTTTAGTACCCGTGATTATCTGATTACACATTCGAAGCATTACCCGCCTGATGGCACACCTCAATTCGGAAAGTGTTCTACCACTGCTGATGGTGACCTTGGAAACGCGCATCAGTTTGTCACTTCATCAGAGACTCACGAGGCCTTTTAAGTAATCTGAGGATTTGACAGAATGTGGAACTTAGGAGATCGCATGAGCCGCATCGACTTTCCTTAACTTTTCTTGGGTAGGGACTTGAGAGGGTGGGGGGGGAGCGGAAACACTTTTGCAGCTG